ACGCCCGTGGATGGTGAGGGCATGATGGGGGCACTGGGGGGAGCTGGGAGGGCTCTGGGAGGACCCGGCTCAGGCTCTGTCCCCACAGGTGTCAGTAAGATCGTGACAGTGGATGTGAAGGGGAACAGCCCGCTGTGGATGAAGGTGAAGGACCTGGCCGAGGGCGTGACGTACCGGTTCCGAATCCGGGCCAAAACCTTTGCTTATGGTCCAGACGTTGAGGCAAACATCACCACGGGGCCTGGGGAAGGTAGGGGACATGTGGGGTGGTGTGCCGGGGTCAGGGAGGAGATGTGATAGGGACAGTCCTTCTGGTGCCATCCATCAGGGCTGGCATGGCCATGTGCCACCGAGCTGCTCCAGACCACCGCTGAGTTCCAGCTCTGCTCTGCATCCCCAGGTGCCCCCGGCCCCCCAGGTGAGCCCTTCATCTCCCGCTATGGCTCAGCCATCACCATCCACTGGTCGAGCGGAGACCCTGGCCAAGGGCCCATCACCAGATACGTCATCGAGGCCCGTCCTTCAGGTACCACAGCTCTGCTCTGCTTTCCATCCCCACCTCGATACCAGCTTGGCTTCAGGAGAAAGGGAAACTGAGGCAGGGAGTACTGACCTCTCCCAGGCCACCCAACAGGCTGGGTGATTTTATCAATGACGCTGCAGCCAGTGAGCTCAGTGCCTGACGGGAGGAGCGGGCAGAGGGGACACGCTCCTGGATGGAGGGGGATCAGCCTCTCACCCTGGGGAGTCCTGCAGTGCTGGTCCCCCCACTCTCAGGTCCCTTTTCTCTTCCAGATGAGGGACTCTGGGACATCCTCATCAAAGACATCCCCAAGGAGGTGACCTCCTACACCTTCAGCATGGACATCCTCAAGCAGGGGGTCAGCTACGACTTCCGCGTCATCGCCGTGAACGACTACGGCTATGGGACCCCCAGCACACCTTCCCCCTCTGTGTCAGGTAGCTGGTGGGGACAGCATGTGGGTGTCCCCAGAGGGATGCTGTCACCCTTGTGCTGGAGGGACAGTCCCAACGATGCTCTGTTCTCATGGCCATCACTGAAACCCATCTCCCTGACCCTGCCTGGCTCTACAGAGCCCCAAATCCCGCTGCCAGCAGCATCTGCCAGCACTCCCCTTGCAAAGCCTCCTGCTCTCCCCCTCTATCCCACTCCCTCACGTGGATCCAGGTCTTACAAAGTTCCCCAAGGTGACCCCATAGCCTGTAGTGGGGTCTCCCCATCCATACTGGTTTTTCCCCCTCCTCATACCCCTCTGATCCTCCCTGCTGTGCCCCAGCCCAGAAAGCCAACCCCTTCTACGAGGAGTGGTGGTTCCTGGTGGTCATTGCCCTGGTGGGGCTCATCTTCATCCTCCTGCTCGTCTTCGTGCTCATCATCCGTGGGCAGAGCAAGAAATATGCCAAGAAGTCAGACTCAGGTGAGTGCTGGGGATCTGGTGGGTGGTGATGGGACCCTTCGGGGTGCCAGCTGGGGGGGTGCAGAACCCTGACCCCATAGGAGCCTCTCTGGGGCTTCCCTGCCTTTGGGGGTCTGAGTAGGGTGGTGGGAACTTACCTCCCCATCTGCCTTGGGGCCCAGCTCCTCCAGAGACTCGGTGACATCTGATAGAGATGCTGTGGGCTTCCCGGAGAGCGGCGGGAGCTAAAGATTAAAGAAGGGAGTTGTGTGGCTGTCAGCTGCGCAGGCAGGGCAGCGCGGGGGCTCGGCAGAGGTCACCGGGATTAGCCAAACACTGATCTGTTTTCTTAGCTGTATTAAGGGCTCAAATTGTGAGGAAAATCCAGAGCTCCTGGTTAAGCAAACAGAGTCGCTGAGCCGGGAGCTGGAGGCGATGGGGCAGGTCAAGGCAGGCAGGCTCGGCACGGCCAGTGGTGCCAGGCATGGGGCTGATGTGTGGCCACTGCCCCAGGACTGGCACCTCTTGGGTGTCCCCAGGCTTTGGTGTCTCCAACACCAGAGCTGGTACAACCCTCCTTGGACCATTCTCCAGCCCCCTGTGTGGGACCCCCAGGCTGTGCTGGAGGGGGTCATCCCATGGGCTCATCCCTGAGCATCCCATCCCGCAGGGAACGGCTCCAAGGCGACGGCGCTGAGCCATGGTGAGATGGTGAGCCTGGATGAGGGCAGCTTCCCCGCCCTGGAGCTCAACAACCGTGCCTATCCCTCCATCATGCGCTCACCACAGGATGGGCGCAGGGCTGGGGAGGGCTGGCACCCCGCGGGGTGACCCTGCTCTGTCCCATGTCCCCTCTGGCACGAGCTGCAGCTGCTGCTGGGATGCCAACCAGCCTGAAAGGCTGGGAATCCTGGAGAGCCCAGGGACCACGGGCAGGGTCCTTGTGGGGGGCTTGGCATGGCTTGGGGATGGTCATGCGCTCACCACAGGATGGGCGCAGGGCTGGGGAGGGCTGGCACCCCGCGGGGTGACCCTGCTCTGTCCCATGTCCCCTCTGGCACGAGCTGCAGCTGCTGCTGGGATGCCAACCAGCCTGAAAGGCTGGGAATCCTGGAGAGCCCAGGGACCACGGGCAGGGTCCTTGTGGGGGGCTTGGCATGGCTTGGGGATGGTCACTGTACCTGTCCTGGGGCTCAGCTGGGCTCATCCCCGTGGGCACAGCCCCGATGAGGGACCCACACTGAGCACCCACCTCTCCCTGAGGTCC